TGACTTATATTGCGAATTATGCTGCGTCAGCTTCATACCTGAGATCACGATATTAACTTACTTCCTCCCCCCCCCCCCATTTATATATTACAGGCTAAATGTGCAAAACGCACAGGAGAACATCCATAATTAAAAACATAAATTCAAAATCTAATAAACAAATATATATATATATATATATATATATATATATTGTTCTTCACAAAAAAAAAATAATTAACACACACATACAAAACATAGGTTCGTAACTTTGTTATTGTTGAAAAGACATAATGAATGAACATGTGACAAAAATATTTAGAGCCAAAATGTCGCACGCATAAACATTCTGCTTCGCACGACCCGAGGAAGAAAACATTGAAACAGATGTATAATTAATAAAAAGAAGTCACCGAGGTGACAGAGCCGACACATAGAGGTGACAGAGGCGACACATAGAGGTGACAGAGGCGACACTTAGAGGTGACAGAGGCAACATATAGAGGTGACAGAGGCGACACATAGAGGTGACAGAGGAGAAACATAGGGGTGACGGGGCAGGGCATTCTCTTTAAAAAAGCAGCCGAAACACTGAAAATTATCGTCACAGCAAAGTCAATCAATATCACAAAAGATTCTACCACTGCACCGCTTACCGGACAGCCTTGAATCAACACATCGAGTATTGACCAGGGATTCCCAATCATTTCGAGAAGTGGAATAAAACCATTTAATCTCAAACACATTGGGTATTAACCACACGCATCGGCCAGCTCACAGTGGTGGCTGAGTGGTAAAGCGCTTGGCTTCCGAAACGGGGGTCCCAGGTTGTAATCCTGGTGAAGACTGGGATTTTTACTTTTGGGATCTTTAGGACGCCTCTGAGTCCACCCAGGTACCTTACATTAGTTGGGGGGGGGGGGGGAGGGAAATAATGGCGATTGGTCGTTGTGCGGCCCCATGACAACCTTGTTAATCGTGGGCCACAGAAACAGATGACCTTTACTTCATCTGCCCCATAGATCACAAGGTCTGAAAGGGGAACTTTACTTACTAATATAACTGCACACTATTTATATACAAACGCATCGTATATACTCTACAAGTGAAACCAGTACACTACAATGCTGTACAAGTGAACCCAGTACACTACAATACTCTACAAGTGAACCCAGTACACTACAATACTCTACAAGTGAAACCAGTACAATACAATACTCTACAAGTGAAACCAATACACTACAATGCTGTACAAGTGAACCCAGTACACTACAATACTCTACAAGTGAAACAAGTACAATACAATACTTTACAAGTGAACCCAGTACACTACAATGCTGTTCAAGTGAACCCAGTACACTACTTTAACAAAGAAACATTCTGGAGCGAGACTCTAACGTCAAATCATTGCACACACACACACACACATGACTCTCTGTTCACTTGTTTTACGTTTGTACACCGCGTTTGTTTTTTTGAACGCTTCTTTCGTGAGCTAAATAGTCACTTTCTTCTCTTCAAGACACGTCCTATAATGACGTCATCTTTAAACAGTTAAAAAACAATCTAACCATTTATCGTCAGTTATATTTAGTTTACTGAGGATCAGCGAGTGGAAGACCTACTTTAAAAAAAAAAAGTTTGAAACCCTTGGATCTAGAAAAGAGAGATAGATACCTCAGCAGTCACTACAGTTTCTGACTGTGCTACTGTAATACTATTTTCTCGTGGCTCCGTATAGGTTTGTGTTTTCATGAGCATGTAGTCTGGTAAATAGACGTTGACTGTGACGTTGTACGCCGTGGCAGTAGACAGAGAGGAATGATAGACTACAACCTGCACAGTGGCCGTAGTGCTGCAGAGACAAGATGGCGATTTGGTAGAGGAAATATGTGGTTCATATATTCATTTGAAAAGAAAGTAAAGTAATGCCAACTAGAAATTGGATGAAAAGGCAAAATTATATAGATTATTATATAGAAAAGTAATGGCAAAGTAACATTAAAGTCAGACTTCGAGCGTAGAAATGTTCATGTATAGATTAATCATTAATGTTTTAACATGAATCGCAGCAAATGTTCATGTAAAGTATTAACTAATAATTAACATCAATAAAAGATGTAAAGTATAAATCCTTTAGTTACCAAGGTTTGATTTCATAATTTTTTACACCAAAAACTCATTTCTAGTGTCTTTAGGATATCAGCACACTATAACGTTTGTCAAAAGAAGGTGTTGCTGGATAAAGTAGTTTAGGAGATAGGACATACCGTCAGCTGTTCTCATGACCTTAAAGACCCATGATTTTATTTGTATTTAAAAGTACATTTGTTTTACAACAAACACATTTTTCTAGTCATTATATTACAAAAGATGTTTATTGCAAAACATCATTGAAAGATGTGCATTTAACATCAACGAAAGATGTCAACTGTTTAAAATTGTGAAAGTACATGTTCATAAGTAGAGATTTAAGTTTTCACAATACTAAAATCAAATATTATGGCTGTCAGAAAGACAATACATAATTACGCCTGAAAGATTATGTTTTCATATTTCCACAAAGCTTTTATGAACTCTGTCTGTCTGTCTGTCTGGGTGGAATCTTGAACACGTTGTTTACTCCACTTCCCAGTCTCAGATCAAGTTTAAAATTTGCTCAATTACTCATTGCCTAAGAAACACGCGAATCTATAAAAGTAATCAATAAATTAATCAAATATACATAATTAATTAATGTTGTTATATCAAATTTACTTAACAATTACGTTTCAACTCATCTTGTATTCTGGATCTGTTTGCCTGCAAGTATTTTTACGAACTCTAACTCTGGAGCTAATTACCTGCTATCATACGCACATTGTCCGAGCTGTTGAATGCTGACCGCTAACGATGGCAATCTTATTTCAGGGGCGTCAATAGTCACATCTACTTCCGACACCCACATTACGTTGTTGTTAAAGGACACGCCCATGCTAATTGGCCAATGATCGCCATTCTGTAAGAGATATGAACGTTTGTAGTTATATAGTATTGTTAAAACTAACTAGACTAACAACAGATTTGTCTCTTGATCTTTGCAGCCTAGATTCGCATCACATGACAATGAAATTACAAGAGCACATTCCGATCATTTTGCTTTAAGTTTTCAACTCAGATCTAGATCGAACATTTAGAAGTGATGTTCAGATGTCACACGTGTTGTTTTCACTTTTCTCCGAAACACATTAAAAAAAATATTGACTGCAAAAATTCTAAAGCTTGTTGTTTTTTTTATGTACGGACTGGAAATATTGGAGTCATCTAGTATTTAGATCCTTAAATCCCCATTGAGATTTTTACTCTCAATTTACATCATATTAAAATTAGCAAATATAGATTTCTAGTTAGCCAGTCTGTATTTTATCTATGTTTGTGCATTTAGAGCATTCTAAAAGATTTCATTTGTTCATGTAAAAATATGTTGTGCATCATTCGCAATCGAGAAATGTCTTTTACTAGTTCCCTGCGTTCCTAAAAATGAAACTTGACAAAGAGTTAGTGACATTTTTAAACTTTTCTTTTCGTGAGAACAAGAGCTAACTATTAATAGCACATATTTCTTTTACATTATTTATCAGCTTTAACATTCTTTTCAATACCATTTAATGTCAGTTCTGTCACTTTTTTGTCTAATTTAATCTGAGGCCATTATTTTCTGGCATATTAAATTCTCTAATAACCTTCTTTTCTTGTAAAGTAAGCCTACTCTTAGCTAGTAGTTTTATATATGTCCGAACTTCAAAATGAATCAAAATAAATTGCATAAGGAATATACACATAATATCTCATGTGTTAAACTTCGGGTGACAAAAATAAATGTTGGATCATATGAATTCACTAAATACCTGAAGCTGGCTGTAGTCTTCGACTCGGACACTGAACATTGAGGTCAAGACCAGTTGGTTGGAGTTGTTGGACATCGGGACAGGGGGCAGTTCTAGGATACCAATGTTGTTTTGATAGGATGAGAGAGACGAGATCTTGGAGCCGGTCAGGGAATCCAACATTGCCAGAGTGCTGCTTGTCACCCCAAATGTACTGTTGATAATAACCTAAGGAAATTGTTTACAACATTGTGAGTTGAATTCTAGCGGTACTACATACTAACCTACTCTTGCTCTCTTTGATAAATTCTCACTAAGTGGATGGGGATTGATTGAACTCATGGACCGAATTAATGATCTAATCCAGTGATCACCAAAATACGGCCCGCGGGCCTGAGATGAACTCCTATTGAAAAAACAGAGCAGGAAGGACTAATCCTCCTGTAGTGCTCTGGCAAGAAACTCGTAGCTACTATACAAGTGGCTGCTCAGACAGGTCCCCCCCCCTTTAACTCGCGGAGCTGGGGACACTCGTACAAGACATGCAACACTGTTTGGACGCTCTCTCCACAGTGACGGCATCGGGAGTCAAAGTTAGTGCGGAACCGGACAAAGTATGCCCCAATAGGACAGTGTTCCGTTCTGCACTGCGCAATAATTGTCTGCTCTGACCTCCTCAGTCGCTACCATGGATCGTCGCGATCTGGGTGACGCATGTGCTGCCAGACACCAAGTGCTCTGTCGGATTCCTCCCAGGACTTTAACCACTTCTCATAAATGATTGCTCGGATTTGTGCCGTTGCTTGTAAGTACGTGCTTGGTGCTTCGAGGTGTGTGGCTGCTATATGGTGCCATCCGGTCCGCCGAAACATGTGGAAAATCACACACAAAAAAAGTTGAAAAATGTATCTATCCCTATGTTTGGGCTTTCCCTCTTTCTTCCGTGGAATTCATTCTTTGCCATTCCAATTTCCATTTTTTGTTCTTGTTAAAAAAAAAAGTTTATATTTTATTGTTTGTGGGACATGAATCTTCTGTTATTTTTAATTCTTTGAAATTTCCGTAAGTGACATCTTGTGTGTGCAGCCCGGGGCATCATTTTTACATCATTTTGGGTAGTCTTTTTTGCATCAACGCTCGTGTTACTTTACCATTTATTAGATCTATGTATGCGTTCATGAAATGGGAGATCCGAAGAAAACAAAACTTAGACTCTGAATGTAAAACTTCCAAGAAAAGTGGAGATATGTGGTTGGATGTCACGACGGACTGGCAGCAAGAGTTATCAGAAAAGTTATCAATTCATTAATTCTTTTGTGTTTTTGTTGATGTGGCCGACAGCATGAGTGTCAGAAATTAAGGAAATTAAAATGGCCCGCCCGCCCGATTAGTCTTAAGACGGGTCAGAATCTGGAGTGACTGATCAAGCCAATTCTAGAGCGGCAGAGCTTGCCACTGTCCGTGCATGTCTATGTATCTGTCCTAGGGCTAGCTGACAGGGAGACAACTTTCTTTTTGTTTCTTTTGGCTGCAGCTTCGTTTCTTTTGCACTCGGCGAAGTTCGTACCAGCACGTCACAGTCTGTCTCCCAGCACGTCACAGTCTGTCTCCCAGCACGTCACAGTCTGTCTCCCAGCACGTCACAGTCTGTCTCCCAGCACGTCACAGTCTGTCTCCCAGCACGTCACAGTCTGTCTCCATGCTGTCCAGTCTGTCTCCATGCTGTCCAGTCTGTCTCCATGCTGTCCAGTCTGTCTCCATGCTGTCCAGTCTGTCTCCATGCTGTCCAGTCTGTCTCCATGCTGTCCAGTCTGTCTCCCAGCACGTCCAGTCTGTCTCCCAGCACGTCCAGTCTGTCTCCCAGCACGTCCAGTCTGTCTCCCAGCACGTCCAGTCTGTCTCCCAGCACGTCCAGTCTGTCTCCATGCTGTCCAGTCTGTCTCCATGCTGTCCAGTCTGTCTCCATGCTGTCCAGTCTGTCTCCCAGCACGTCCAGTCTGTCTCCCAGCACGTCCAGTCTGTCTCCCAGCACGTCCAGTCTGTCTCCCAGCACGTCCAGTCTGTCTCCCAGCACGTCCAGTCTGTCTCCCAGCACGTCCAGTCTGTCTCCCAGCACGTCCAGTCTGTCTCCCAGCACGTCCAGTCTGTCTCCCAGCACGTCCAGTCTGTCTCCCAGCACGTCCAGTCTGTCTCCCAGCACGTCCAGTCTGTCTCCCAGCACGTCCAGTCTGTCTCCCAGCACGTCCAGTCTGTCTCCCAGCACGTCCAGTCTGTCTCCCAGCACGTCCAGTCTGTCTCCCAGCACGTCCAGTCTGTCTCCCAGCACGTCCAGTCTGTCTCTATGCTGTCCAGTCTGTCTCCCAGCACGTCCAGTCTGTCTCCCAGCACGTCCAGTCTGTCTCCCAGCACGTCCAGTCTGTCTCCCAGCACGTCCAGTCTGTCTCCCAGCACGTCCAGTCTGTCTCCCAGCACGTCCAGTCTGTCTCCCAGCACGTCCAGTCTGTCTCCCAGCACGTCCAGTCTGTCTCCCAGCACGTCCAGTCTGTCTCCCAGCACGTCCAGTCTGTCTCCCAGCACGTCACAGTCTGTCTCCCAGCACGTCACAGTCTGTCTCCCAGCACGTCACAGTCTGTCTCCCAGCACGTCACAGTCTGTCTCCCAGCACGTCACAGTCTGTCTCCCAGCACGTCACAGTCTGTCTCCCAGCACGTCACAGTCTGTCTCCCAGCACGTCACAGTCTGTCTCCCAGCACGTCACAGTCTGTCTCCCAGCACGTCACAGTCTGTCTCCATGCTGTCCAGTCTGTCTCCATGCTGTCCAGTCTGTCTCCATGCTTTCCGGTCTTGGGCTATTTCTTCCCACATACTTTGGTCGATGTCCGTGGTTCTCCTGTCTCGCTTGCAGACATCTCTGTAGGTTAGTCTTGGGCGGCCCTTGGGTCTGACTCCCTCTGCAAGCTCAGCGTATAGGATGTCTTTAGGGATTCTTCCATCTGGCATGCGAGTGACATGACCGAGCCAGCGTAGTCTTCTCTGAGTAAGAAGAGCATAGATGCTGTGCATATTGGACCGTTTCAGAACGTCCTGGTTGGAAACATGATCCATCCATGAGATGCACATTATGCGTCGCAGGCAGCGTAAGTGGAAGCTATCTAATCTGCGTTCTTAAGACATGTAAATTTCCCAACTCTCATGGACATAAAGAAGTGTGCTGAGGACGCAGGCATTGTAGACCAGGATTTTGATTGCCATAGTAAATTTGGTATTTTCCCACACGCGCTTGGAGAGTTTTGCCATTGCTGCAGAAGCCTTTCCTATTCTTTTTGTCAGCTCACTGAGACACAGATATATATGTATAGTTCGTCCATCGTGGTTCGATGATGACCACTTTGTTATCCAGGGGGCTGAGCTCTTTGCACTGGGGTTTTATGCCTCCTCATGTGGCTGATGAGACCTATGTGAGCCCGGAAAATTGGATACATATATATATATATATATATATATATATATATAATCTTTTTAAATAACAAAGATGACTTGAATTTGATTGAATGAGGTCAGTGATGCCCAACATAGATCGGATACATGTTATATATATATATATATATATATATATATATATAATATCTGGCCTTACCGATATTAGTTGCACGGTTAGTCTGACCTCTTTGGATGACATCTCTGGTGGGGTGAAGCACTCCACGGTGCTGTCGATAAGGTCACGTCCAGAGTTCAGAGTAACATAGGTGGAAAAGATACCCATGATAGGCTGTGTGAGTCTCGACCTGTTCTCCACAGTGACTTCAGCGTGTGGCACGACCTGGTAATTGGATGTCAGGGTCCTGGAGGTCACATTGTAAGGACTGCTGGATGACAGGAAAGTCATGATGCACCGCACGAGACTCCCTGGACTGACATCATCTGGAATAAGAGCGAGAGAATGGTCACGTGATAAGAGTCACTGGTGCATGTTTGTGCACTTAAGCAAAGAAAGATGGTGTGTAGTTTTTTATTATAACAAAGAAAGGGGTTACCACAACTTATCATGAATTTCTCTACATACTAACATTAGACAAAGATTAAATACATTATTAATTAGTAGATCCGGCTTTATCCGATAAATTAATAAATGCCACCGAAATTCAGAGGGGAAAACACTGTTTAATTTTTGTTAATTTATGTGTAGGTCAAATTACCTCTGATGGTCATCCTATGTTTTCCTGTGAGTGACCACAGCCCCGATTTAATGCCAAGTGTAAAATTAAGAATGAAGACTGGCTGGACATCATCAATTATGGACATTGGTTTCAGGTGTTCTTCAAAAGGCTTATTGTATAAAAAGATCCTTTTATTAGGTTAGTTTATTTAAAAAGACAAGAAATATTTTTTTTTGGGGGGGGGGGGGGGGATAAGAATTGTTAAACTGCTGAACTTATCACATCTACTAAGCATAAAATGAAATACATAATGAACATTTTATAGTTTGTTTCACTTATGGCTCATTCTGTCTCTTACCACTGTGGTTGTGTTTTTTGTGATTGTTGTACTGCCATCTTCATCGGACAGAGTCCAGTCCACACTTTCAATGGATGTGTCGTTGTAGAACTTAGAAATTTAGAACACCAAAAAATAAAGTATTACATTAAATGAGTTTCGTTTATGGGAGATTTTTAGGATCAACTAAACAATGCCAAGGACACTCAATAGCACTTCACTGATGCCAATTTAAAAAAAAAAGAATTGAGCAATAATTTTAACACGATATCAATGTGTCATTTTAACACGATATCAATGTGTCATTTTAACAATGACTCAACGCGTGACAGTTGATCAGAGCCGCTAGTTAGTTGTCCATTTGTTTGAAATAAGTTTTTAGTCACAGAGTGAAAGTCTAATGCTTCTCTATTGTGTGCTATAAACGGAAGGGCTTAAACATGTGGACTCTGCAGTGTTAAACTGTACACAAAAGTTGGCATGTACTAATGATATACCTTTTAAACCCTAACACTTCCTTCTTTTAGTACACCGGATGCACCAAAATAAAACTTTCTATATATAGTTTTTCCACCATGTATGATAACTATCCCAGATTGTATTAGCGTAAAATTTAAATTTCGATATAATTTTCTTAACACAATTTTAGGGTGCTGGAATATTCCATGTAAAATATGAAAATGTGAATAATGTATGTAAAATTCATTCAAATTAAAAAGATTTTTATGAGGAAAATGTCAGGTTTCCATCGAGTGGCTGGATAGCTAAACATTTACACCGTGGTAATAAGGCTTATTATCTAAATATATAAGTAGGTCCTCCTATATTATTGTACACTTAATATATATTAAATACATTATAAGCATCGCCTTTTAGTTATCACTAGAAAATATGTTCAAATTCAATTGAAGACTTTCACGATAAACTAAACAATGTCAAAAATCGTGTAGATTTAAAGCTTCGACTATTTTGTTCTGCACGGCTAAAAAAGAGCAGCTAACTTCTCAAGCGCACAGCTTATTGTGAGGCTATATATTAGAGTGCAAGATGACAACGATGTCTTGATGTTACGATGGATGAGATTGCGTTGATCAGATATTCTAATGTAGAGTTTCAGTGTGTAATTAACAAATCAGACTTCTCCAACAATATCGTGATGCCGGAGCTACTACTTCAAAGTATAAACTCAAAACTGAAATCTTCTTTTAAATAAATGCAAAGCTTTAATTCTGGGTCTAGGAATCATTTTAGTATACACACACTACATAAATGTACAATACAATTCAATTTCAATTCTTCTACTCTAGTCGCAGATCTCTCTCTCCAAACTGAACATGCAAGTCTTGAACTATGACCTCAGGTTTCACTTTTAGCAACGTCCAAACTAGTTTTAGAGATTAAGGAAAAACAATAATCGTTTTCAATACACTTGGCATTACTTTTCAACAAAAAAAGCTTATCTATCTCCACATTTTTCGCTATCAAACAATATTAATTATTTCTATTTAATTAACTAACTTGCTAAAATCTTTTTTTGTTTTTGCTGCTGTTTCGTTAGGAACAACGAATAATTGAGTAAAGTTTCAACTTTATCCAAAAATGGTAACTGAGGAAAACAACGTGCTTAAAATGTGTATGAGACAGACAGACAGACAGAGTGAGCTGATGCAGTTCAACAGAAATATATTCGATCGTTAAATTATTTTCAATAACAACTTTAAGCCGAAACTCAGATTCTTTCAGTGATTTACTGAGCCTGTCGAGGAAGTACATTTTATATTACATTTTTTTGACCAAATCTTGCCTCCACAGTGTCGCCATCAATGAGGATCAAAAAGTTCTCACTGTCGTACGTTAGATCTATCTTGCTGGTGAAAGTAAACAAGACGACGTCACCACTGGACACAGATGACCAGTCCGTCGTGTTCTCCATCTTGATAGTGCCATTCACTGTAGAAACAACAAATGTGAAAATAAGGCGGCTGAGATTGAAGTCTCTCATTCGGAAAGAGATGAATGAACAATACAAAAACAACGAAATAAAAAAAGTCAAAGGAAACACGTAAAGTGAACAATTGATGGACTTTTAAACAGATAATATCAAATTTAGCTTCAGATCTGGGCATCTAGAAGAAAAAAACAAGCAAACTGTATAAAATACTATAAAACAAAACAAAAAAAGCTGATTTAAGGGGAAAAAAACACACAATTACTACCACAAGTCTCACAAGTCTGCACGATCTATTTCCTCTTTTCTATGTGAAACAAAATTAATTAATGACCTCTAATTAATTATCTAATTGGTTTATTCTTTTTTTTTATTGTGTGGTGGGTTTGGTACAGAACAAACTAAATGACATGACGAAGGCAACTCGTAGGACGATTCCTAACTGTTTATTACACACTAAAGACCTGCCAAAGGCAAGCATAAAACATAATTACAAATGAACATAAACTAAACATAATTAATAGGCCTGAATACTAGATCTAACGAAAAACAAAAAGAAAATCTTATAGTGTGAACCAATCATCTCTTTGACAAACACAAGAGAGATATGGACACACCAACAAACAGTATACACATAAATGACAACGTAGTTCTCTAAAAATAAATCAACTAGTTGTTCTACATAAAACTAACATATATATACATTGTTTGAAGAGTTTCGCTCTTTACTTTCCTTACAAAAAAACTACAACAATTAAATAGAACAAATCTATATACTCACAAATACACTGTTTCTTAAAAGCCAGTATTTAAAAACTGGTTGTAATAATACTTTTACAAGATGGACAGTTAGCATTCTATAGGAACTATGTCGTCTAGTATACTACAGGTACGCATTTCAATAAATGAATTCATCTACATGATGGCTTCTAAAAATAAGAATAGTCCAACATGAACAAAAACCACGGTTGTGATCTTCTATATAAACTACTAATTAAAATTACAATCTAATATAAATAAGTAAAATGTGATTACCTGCAGCCATACGTAAAACACATGGTGTAGAACCAGGCGCAAAAGGGAGTGGAGACGACGTAGGTCCAGTAACATACGGACACTACAGTGACAAAAGATGCAGGTAGAATGGGCAGTGCCCATGTTGTCTGCCTTTTTATGTGCAGACACAAGGTGCCATCTAGGGGGAAGGGTCACGTGGATATCGGGGTGGCCGGTGTTTCCTGAAAAGGTATCCACTCCACTACAGAGCCCCTAGCTTGAAACGACCCGTCCCGGGGCGTTCAGCCTAGTAGGTTTCTGAAAACTGAAACAACTGTTTCTTGTCAGTGTCTTCTGGAACGACAAATATCTTTCCAGTTTGTAACGCGCTGAGTCCATCGGTCATACAGAGTGGTTTGTCTGGTGCTTCCATGATACTAACGTCTTTCTCGACCCATGATGTCTGGGAAGCTGTAGAAAGTGTGGTAGGGAGTAGTGAGCGAGTTTGTCTTTGTGACTGGTTCAACTGCTTGTAGTTTCTTTTTTTGTCTATGTGTCTTCCGGACTCTGTCATGTCTGGTCTGGTTAGGCTGACCAGCCTTAAAGTTTCTATTCCTTGATGCGGGGTATGTTTGAATTGAGTGACTTGCATCTGTATTGTACATTGCATCAGCTTGTTACTCACTGGTTCGTTGTTCTACTTGGTGGGTTGGCTGTGAAACAATGGGTTCACTATTGCACACAGATTGAACCTCAGCCGTGAGTTGTGGTGATGGCTGACA